TGCGGGAACGGGCGCAGCCGGGGCCGGCTGGGCGGTGGGGCTGGGGCAGGTCTTGCTCGCAGCATCGCTCCCTTCCGTCTCGGACGCGGTCCTTCTAATGACCGCCGGCGGGAGGGCGCGGGAGCGGCTGCTCCGCGGCCGCGGGCTTTGCTCGAAACGTGGGGGCCGGTCGGGTCGGCGTCTCCCCCCCGCCCCGTCCTGGCCGCCGGGGGAAGGGGCAGGTGGTACTCGAAGCAGGGGAGAGGGCGTATGCTTTGGATTTCTAGCTTAAAAAAAATTAAAAAAAATAGAACGAGGTTTCGCTAAGATGGAGCAAAGTTTTGGATGAAACTAATCCAAATATTGTGTAAAGGGACATGCGAAGCGCTTATTGCGGGCAGGAGAAGCGCAGCACTTGCAGCGCCGGGAGCAGCGCCGGCCGCCAAAGCAAGCCGTGGGAACACGCGTGAGGATGGCCCGAATGCAAAACCACTACAGCAGTGAGAGAGCAAGGACTGAACGAGCCGCACTGCTGTGCAGTTAGCACAGGAAAAAAACAAAGTCACTGCAGGCTTTCTGTACCACAATGCAAAAGTTCGTTCTTTACGCTCAATTCATCATTCCCACTTCACTAACAAAGTACCAGTTTATCCCTTCCCTCTTCTCTCATTTCTTTTTCTTTTTCTTTTTTTTTTTTTTAGAAACTTTGTCATATCAGATGTCAATGAACACTGTAACTCTAATTAATTTTGTATTTACTAATCAGGAGCTCAAAGAAAAAGTAGACTTTTGACCCACTGTTGGTGATACCTTTCAAGTGACATAGCTCTACAATTGTCCCCTGGTTCTGCAGTCAGTGGGACTTGCTTCTGGAGTATATCACCAGAATATACCTTCTGACATAGTCAGCTGAGTGTGTTTTATTTTCTGCTCCACTTCCATTTTCTATGGAGCTCTTTCATGAGGAATTTGCCTTTTGGTTCTCTGTTCATGGAAAAAACTGGCTTTTCACAAATGGCACGTGCATGGGACAATGTTATGCCATTACGTGGTAAAGAGCTATGTAGCTTCTGAGGCAAAACTTTTTCTGACTTGGTTTGACATTTTTTACCCCAATTCCTATTCCTGTTTTTTATTTTGCTTCCTAGAAATAGAAGACATTCATGTAATAATTGATCAGAAGTTATTATGTGCAACTCAACCAAAATCAATATGTTGAAAATCCAGCCCCAGTATCTCTACAGACAGTTTAGGGATAGAAACTCTAGGCTGTTGTAGATAAATTTAAAACGGAGAATGATTTAATGTGCTAAACCACTATGTTAGTGATATATTTGTTATATATATATATATATTTGGCTTCTTTTTCAACATTACTGCTAGACTTAGGTAGAAACACTGTGTTTTCATACATTTCCTTTCCCAAATAATTTGGGGGTCTTCTTATCTGTGGGTGGAGTATAGTTTTTTCCTTGTAAAAATAAAAGCCCTCATTTTAACCGAGTCTGTATAACGAACAATTTTGTTTCTAATACTGCATCTTGCTCCAGTATTATTCTTACAGTGTGCAGTCTCTTCTCATGCAAGCTATTCTGAGATTCTACTGAATCAATTAATATTTGAAATGTTTTGTATTAAATATTAGTGCTCTATTTTTATGTGAAAGAGCAACAAAAATAAAAAAATTAGGATTTTTTTGTGGTGTCACCTGAAGCTATTGGGACAGGCAGGTTCTTTGAGGTATCCTTGGTAGAGTGACCAATGGCCACAGGGTTATGGTTATAATCGGAGCTTTATTATTACATAAAAATTTTAACAATCAGCATAGCTTATTGTTATTTACAGTTCCTAGCAGTTAGCGTAGCTTATTGTTACGCAGAATTTTTAGCAATTAGCGTAGCTTACAGTTAAACAGAATTTCTAATAATTTGCATAGCTTTCTTATTATCTAGATTTTTTATTTACCTAGACTTTTTAGCTACCTAGACCTCTGCAGATCATGTCAAGTTCTTAATAATCAGTGCGTGATACAGTAATTGTAATCTGGACTCAGACTTTAGCTAGAAGAACATGAGTTACTCAGTCCTCAGAGGAAGAAGATGATGGTGATGGAGGTGCCCCTGACCACTGGGGCATCACGAGGTTTACTGTCCAGCAGCGGTTCCCATCTAAGCCCACTTGCAGCTGCTGGATTTTATAGGCAGTATCTCATGGGCTGTTACGCTTCCCTGCTCCATAACAGGTGCCACCACATCCTGGCGACAGTGCTGGTGGGCAAACTGTCTTATCTTATCGCAATGTTGAAAAAGGGGTAGAAAGAAGGGAGTGATATGTGATCAGCGTGCTTACGTATTATGGCTGTTTGCCTTATAAAATGGCATTGGTTATGCTAACCATATTACCAGGGGTTTGAAGCAGGGGGTACTGGTCACACTGGGTTAGGGCATTTCACTGGCATACAGTATTTGAAAAGAGGTTCAGTACTTTGCTATAACAGCCAAACTTTATCTTGATATTTTTTTCAATTTGTTATCTTTACTAGAAATAATCTAACAAGTTTTAAATACTTTCGTGATTAAACTTGACTGCAAGTATAATGTGTAAACCACACAATTGATCAATAATAAAATTACATTTACTTAATGGATGTAGCAGTTTTTCTGACTTTAAAATTTTTAATAAAGCTGTTCTACTTTTAATTAAAGATGTATTTTGTTAATCCACTCCTACTTGTACAACTGATCATCTGACACCTGTATTTAAGTGTTCCTTTATGTTTGTATGAAACAGAGAAAAGTTTCTTCATACATTGTTGCATAATTTAGTGACTTCTTTCTCTCCACAGGGCAGCTTTTTTCATTCCTAATTTTGTCTCATCTATTATACCAAACATGCATGCGGAAGGGAAGTTTTGGTTAGAGGTATGCTCAGAAGGACAATATAGTCCATAATGGAGAAACATAGATTTTTAAAGGACTGCTATGCTAGCTGTTCCGCCTTCCTATATGTTATGAGCAGCTGTGCTGCCCCAGTAGCTTGTGTTTGTCTGAAGCATGTATTTCAGAGTAACTTCAAGTCTTGATCTGAAGACCCCTGAAGATGAAGAATCCATCATTTTCTATGGAGAATCCACTGTTTTCTTTGGTAGTGTAGTATTCTGAACTCTTTTACTATCACTTTAACAATGTGTTTAAAATGTCTTGCTTGAATTTGACTAGCCTTGATTTTCTCCCAGTGGTGCTTGCTGTTTCTCACTCTGTCCTAATTTAAAGCCCTCCTTGGTATCCTTTAGTATTTTCTTACCATGATGTCACTTATACAGTAATCATATCAACTTTTGATTTGCTTGTTACAGAGCTGTCAGGTCCTCCATCTGCACTAGTGTGATCCAGAGAATATAGGAGCACATGATCATATTTCTGATGAATTAGCTACTGCACATGATATGGTGTTTATGCTGAATTTATGTTTTTATGGTGGATTTATGCCAGCTAGAGGGGAACAGACATTACCTGATGTGACATAGCATTAGAGTGGTGCAGACACATGATACTTCATGCAGCATGAAGTTGGTTAGGATAAAATTACCTTTTTATAAATTTAGGAACAGGTTTAAACCAGCAAAATTAATTTGTCCTGCTTTTGGACATGGTGTCAAGTAGCTGCAACATTTTTTATTTGATCTGAGGTATCCTAAACCAGATTTATAATGTCACTGAACCACAGCTGAAGGCCCTCAATGCAAGACACTTTTTTCCCTCAGTCCTCAGATAATTTCTGTGGCTTTTTTCCTCTCCTCTTTTCCTATATCCATTTTAAAAAGAAGACATGCGTGTTGGGTGTAGAATAAATACCAGAGTTGTAGCATATCTAGAGATAACATCACCTTCCTGTTGTCATATGCTAATTCCATGCTTACAGATTGGAAGAGTGCTTTTTGTTTTGGAGTCACACTAGGAAGCCCTGTGTTTCCAGGCTACTTTGAGCACCCTGGAGCTGGTGTAACCACAATTGTAACCAAGGTTACAATCTACCACTCCTTAGGAATGGTTTGTGTTTGTATGGCTATATTTGTTTGGTTTTAAAGTAACTTTTCTGCATGGGCTTAGTGCTCAGTAATGCTTCCTACCCACATTGATATTCACCAGTTGTGTAGAATTTGTGCCATATGCCAGCTTTATCAGTGGTAATTTTGTATTTATTGTCAGGTTGTTGAGGAATGTGCTGCAGTGTTGTAAGGACCACTCTAATCCTTTTCTAGAAACTCCCTGGGTTAATGCAGATGGCTCCTCATTGACAAGGACTTTGTAGAACCTCTCTGCTTGCCCAGTGGAGCCCCGTGAGCCAGGTCTGGCAGGTGGTGTGCTCCCATCCAGCCCGCTACTGAAAGAGAAAGGAGATGGTCATCTGCTGCTGGCCAAAGAGCCAACCCTCCCCTAGTGCAGGCCTATACAAGGATTTGCTGCCCGAGAGGATGCAAGAGGGAGGAGGATGGAGCCAGGAGCCCAGGAGCAGCAGTCCAGCAGCCTGTGGTGAACTGTGACAGCAGTATGCTCTCCATCTTTCTCTGCCACCACTAGGCAGCAGCCTCTCTCTTTGTGGCAGGCACAAGATGGTGCATTGCTTGAGGCTTTCATGAAGGGCTGAAGGCAGATTGCTGCTGCCGCTGCTGCTTCGGGGAGGAAAGGGAGGAATTCCCAATCCCACCCCCTGCCTCTTTGCTACCCTTAGTCAGCTCTTCATGTCTCAGTGTGCACTTTATTACTGGAGCATGGTGTGAATTTAATCAAATCCAAATGCTCTATGGTGCTAAGGCAAACATCCTATAAAAATATGAATTTGTCACATCTGGTTTACGTAAGCTCATAGCTTCTTCACTTTCATAAGGTAGGGCCTGT